AGCTAAATGTTCTTTTCTGCTTTATCTTTTTCTGTTGTTTTAATTTCAATGTCCAGCTTTCTTTTATTTTAGATGTGTCCATTATAAAGCAACATATAATTGGCTATATTTAAAAACCTAATGTGAGATTTCTATTAATATTAGTAGATAAATTTTACCCATTTCTATTTACTATAGACTTATTCCCATCTTTGGGTTTTCTATCCTGCTTTCTTATTAATTTTTTCCATTCTGTTGAATTAGTCAAGATCTTTTCTTCCTATTTTTTCATTAATGCTTTAGGAGCTGTGCCTGAGGCTGGTTGTCACCACCACCCAATCTATTCTCTCTTCTATCTCATAAATGGCACCATGACAAGGGGCACATTGATTTCTTCACCAACATTCTTATTCCTTCTCCTTTCAGGCATGTTGGAAGATTGCATTGTCCTTCTCCTTGAAGTTAGACGCAGCTGCATGGGTGTTGAGCCAATAAAACAGAGCAGAAGTTAAATAAGACACTTCTAAGTGGAAGACCGCCAAGGCTAGTACTCGTCTCTCCAGCCCTTCCTGCCCCTACTTGGATGCGTGTAATCACAGGAGTTCATATCCACATGGAGGTGGTGTAAGCCTGGAACAGCCTGGAGGACTGAGCAAGCACACGGAGAGACAACCATGGAGAATTGCCTGGAGATCAGCAGATTTGTGTGAGTGAGAAATACATTTCAGTTAAGCCATTGAGATTTGAAAGTTTGCATCAGAGCAGAATCTAGCCTGTCTGGATACACTTGGTGACAGTGTGTCCTTGTAGCAGGGAAGGTCTGGTAACAGTTCTGGCTAGTGAAATATAAGTGGAGGAGGCTGGATGAGTGAGCCTTCTGGGAAAGGCCGTTAAAAGAAATGAATGGCATAAATGTTTCTCTCTTTGCTCTTCACCTACTCTCCTGAAACGCAGACGTGATGGCTGAAATTCTAGGAGTCATCCTAGAGTAAGAGGACTAGTCCCATCCCAGGAGTGCAATGTGGAAACAGAGAAGATGGAACCTCTTGATATTATGCAGCTGCTGTGCCTTGGCCTTCCCATTCCTGGGCTTTATTTATGGAAGAAGAAAACAAACTTTTATTTTGTTTAAGCTGCTGGTTTTCAGGTTTCTGTTCCTAAGAGCCCAATATAATTCCTAACTATTATGGAAGTTATTTAAGTAATTTTCATCCTTCTATTATTTATACTAAAGTTATTTTTTAATGTTTTTATTGTGAAAATGTTCAAACATATCTCAGAATGAGACAGAATTGTCATCATTCCAACAGCAATTACCAATTCACAGTCAAACATCTTTCATTGATACCTCCCACTTTCCCCTCCTGGGTTGGATCTTCCAGGTGGTTCTGCCTGCTCTTGTGGAAACCATGCTTTCAGCCCACTCCCAATAGATAATCCTACTATGTCCTCCACCCACAGACCTAAATTCACCTTCTGATACCCATGGTCCCTGTCTTGGCCTTGGGTGGTAAGGTCTCCACAGTCTGTGGCTTCTTGTCTCCATCCTAGGCCCCTTTGTGATATCTTGCCTCTCCCATCTTGGGCTTTTACAGAAGTAAAAGCCTAGAATCCTAACCACTAGGCCATCAGAGAACTCTGCCTTCTTTGCCGTGTACTACTTTTGCCTCTGAACCACTCAGCCTCCCCCAGGCTCCCCTGTGTCTCCTGGGATAACCTGAGAGGAGGGGCCGAGGGCAGGATCTGGCTGTAGGCTGCAGCGGTACCTCAGCCCCTTCACACTCTTCTATCTCAGGGCTCTGAATGGACTTTTGTCTCTTCCTGTATGGCTGGAACTTTCTCTGTGGGCCCTGTGTTCCACCTCCTTTCACTGTCAAAATCTATCACCCTCTTTAAGGACATACTCTATCCTAAGTTCTTTGTTCTGAACAGTTGATATGAAAGCCCAGCTTGGGAGTGCCCAGAAAACAAATTTTGTTCTCAACTCAGTCCAGCCCTTCTACATCTTAAGTGCTTATTTCCAGACTACTAATTTTTGGCGGACCTGGACAAACTTGAGTTTTAGAAACAAAGCTGAACAAAGGCTAAGCAGTATCCACCTGGCAAAATGGGAGTGGTGGAATAGTGGTCAGAACCAGTGTCCTCCTGTAATGTGTGTGAATGTGTGTGAGTGATCAGGGGGATGTTGGTCAGCCCACTCAAGCTGCTGGGCATGCATGGCAGTGGCTGTGGCATCTCATTTTGGGTCTGGCATGTGGGACAGAGAAAGACGAAAATTCAGGATGGAGACCTTGGAGTGATGGGATCAGAACTGAGGTTGGTGATGCATCAGGTGAGGGGCTGGAGAGCATGGAGTGGGCATTGTGGGGCAAGGAGACTAGATGTAACGTGGGGGTCCTTTTCCAGGGCAGGAGGGGACTGGGAGGGGATGGGCTTTCACTTACTGAACTACCTTCTTAGAGGCCCAGGAGGCTAGACCAGTCTGAGGGTCAGTAGATTTCTTTGTTGATCAGGCCTGGGTCACCTATCTCTTGGGGCCACCATGTCACCTGAGGAAGGCACATGTATGAGGATACCAAGTCCCCCAAAATGCTCTTAGACCCACACCTGCCCCTTAGCTGCAAGCATGCTCCTTCCGTCCCCACTTGTGTTGTTTCAGTGTATTGTCAGGAAGAGTTCCTTATGCAGCTCAGTTTAGTGATGGTGGAAAAGAGAAGAGAGGGTCTATGAGGTTCTGAGAGGTCTATCTGTAAGAAGTCCCACCTGTGGTCTCATCCTTGCTAAGGAGGGAACGGTGGTTCCACCAATAGGCAGCTAGCCACAGACCTTGCTGCTAAAAGAGCTTCTCTCCTGACTCCTGTCCTATGCTTTATTCCTTTCCTTGGACCTCTCTGAGGTTAGACCATCCCTGGCTTCTCAACACCCCTGATCTTTGAAGGGACTCTTGCAGTGGTGGTTAAGACTTTGGATGAAACTTGACCTTCTTGGACTGCCCCACAGTCACCATTACTGACACCTGTGTGGTGCCATCTTCTTGGGATCCTGTCTACCTGGGACTAGAGGCCTAGCCTACTTTCCCCATTAGCCTCTCCCCATCTCAGACCCCAGCTGTCTGGAGGTGCTGGACCTTCCTGCTTCCAAAGGTTTTTGACTCAGGGTAGCTCTGCCTCTAGATCCCTGTTTTACTTTGCATGCTTAGCTCATCAGAGAGCAGAAAACCTTGATTTCCTTGAGCCCACTGAGTGTAAACCTGGGAATTCTACATGACCATCTACAGATGGGACCACGCGAGTTGAGTAGGGGACTGTAACCTGGGCTGGGAAGGACTTAATTCATCAGTTTTCACATTGTGGATGCATACTGAATTTCATTGCCCAGGCAACTCCCTAGCCCAGATAAAGCAGAATCTCTGGGTGAGCCTAGGCATCAGGACATTCCAGTATCTTAGGGGATTCCAGTGCCCATTGTAGACTGTAAGTCAGAGAGTTAAACTCTTGCTCTCATAGATTTGAAACACCTCTCACTGCAGGGGTGAATGCCTCATGGGCTAAATCATGCAGAATTCCTGCCATATTGTTTGTAGACCTAACTAGTTTCCTACCACTCACCACTGCCAGTAGGGGAGGAGAAAGCTGTGTTGAAGCTCCTAAAAAGGGTGAAAGAGTGAGGAACCTAGCTGCATCATTGCCACTTGCAGCTATTGGAGGTGATAGATATTGGACTGAACCCTGAATCCTCACATCTGTCACAGCTGTTCTAGGGACATCCTGCCCTGAATCCCAAACACACACACACACACACACACACACACACACACACAATGAGCCCTGGGGTGAGGGAGAACCTTACCCATATGTAAGGCCAATGAAAACCTCTGGCTTCTGTACACCTCCCCAGCTGGTCCTCCCATCCCTTGTGCAAGGCCACCCTTCGCAAAATCCTGGGGAGGGTCATGGACCTCAGACTCCTGGGATGCAGGTTCAGACAAGTATCACACTTGCCATAGGGTGAGAGTGAGGGGCTTGGGCATGTTTGACAAAGCAGAGACTGAGCATATTCAGAGATGACTGAGACATAAATGCCAAGAGATAATAAGAGCCTCAGCAAAGCATAGACACATCAGCACCCGCTCATGGCAGGCTCAGCAGAGGGTGTGGTAGTTTGTGAGAGGATTGTGGGAGAGAGGGAATCTTGAGGGAAGGGCAGCTCAGCTGCTTCTGAGGATGTGATAAGGTTTCGAAGCTGTATCCCCAAGCTAATGACCTCTGATGGCAGAGGATAGCCCTCCTGCCTGCTCACCCCTATTCTTCCTCTGCTTGTTAATCCACTCCAATCCCCAGGCTCTCTCCCCCCACACCAACTCCATCTTGGTTCTCCCAGGAAGTGGCCAGCACAGGGCGGGGTTGCGGGGTGGGGAGCCATGTCTCTTAGCCTCTGGGGAGGGAGGCAGCAGGCACAGCTGCAGCCTCTCTGCCTCTGCCCCGGCCTCCCCCAGGGGCTGGCTTTAGCTGGCTGTTCCCTTTGAGGCACAGCTGTTCTGCTGCTGCTCAGCGGGGGGTATCCTGTCCTCCTGGCTCTCTGCCAAGCTCTGTGCCCGCCCTGAGGGCCCTGCCAGTCAGAAGCCTGTGGAATCCTGCCCTTCCCAGCTGGCTCTGACTGCAGCCAGTCCTAATCTGAATGGAAATTGCTTGGCAGGGGCTGCAGAGGAGTAAAGCCCAGTGCCTGCCCAAATTGTGGTGGGAGCTGGGATCAGGCTGGCTCAAGTGTCAGAGCTGGCCCTGAGCCCTGAGCTTTCTTTTGGGTACAAGATTGGTCAGGTTTACTTTAGGAGCAAGGGCTAGTGTGAGTTGTCCTGGGACAGGCTTTAGACTATGCCAGGAAATCATTTTTTTGGAGGGTGGAAGGCAGGAAGATAAGGGGCTGATCCCTCTTCTGTGGGTCTGATTTCCAAAGGGCAAGACCATGGTCAGTAAATGTCTTTATTGGAAGAGAGATCCAGTCTCCTTGGCTCTGCCAGCACCCTAGGTCATGAGGATTTCAATGTCGAGCTCTAGCCGGCTGGCCCTGACCTCATAGCAGCCCCGGATCAGGCCTCGGGTTTGGCTGGCATGCCAGCGCCAGTGAGACTGGATGATGCAGGCCGCTTGGCGTGCCTGGAGAAACCGTCTGCGGGCCTGCCACATGCGAACCTGTGCCTGCACCTTCACCACTGCCCATTCCTGGCAGGTGTAGAGTCTTAGTGCCAGGCGCCGTCTTTGCTCCAGCATCTTGGCCTGCATCGACCTCCACCAGCACTGGATGACCCAGGCCCTGAGTGCTGCATGCAGTAACATCCGGCGTACCATGTTGCCACGCCACCATGACTGAATCTGTATGGCTGCCTTCTCTAACTGATCGGGGGAAGGAAGAACATGGAGATGCTCAGTGGGGTACCCTCCCATTCCTAACCCCACCTCTGGTGCTGGGAGGAAAGGGGGCCTGGCCCAGGTAGCTCTGGCCTCTTATTTCTGGGCCCCATCCATCTTATTTCCAAACCCTACTCACCTTTAGACACTGCTCATTATCCTCTGGACAGATCCCTTCTGTATGAGCCTCACTCACATTTTGTGTGTCCATGGCCCTGGTCTTTAGAGTCCACTCATCTATCAGTTAGGCCACCCTAGTCTGTAGCCCCGCCCTCAACTGTTAGGCACCCCATCACTAGACTCCGCCCACCTGCACACAAGTCTCCCCTCATTAGGTCCTGTTCATCCACATTTCACCCACATCTCTTTCTCCTCTTCTTTTGTTTGTATCTTCTTATGGATTGACCAGCCACCTTATTTACTGATACCCATAACTTTAAGTGGGCTGTCATTATTTCTTGCTTTCAGTTTATTTCTCAGACTCAGCTGGTGCCTTAAACCTTGCTCTTTCTACACCTTCTAGCCACTTATTTCTGGTCCTGCTGGTGTCAGTGGAGAGAAAGTTTCATTCAGCTTTCCTTCAAGTAAGGGTTTACACAGACACACTCATTACCATTGTGGGTTTCTGGAAGCCTAAGTGTCAGGGTCTTTGGGAAGGACCTGAGCCGTGTGTTCATGGGCTAGTATGTGTTTTGTTAAATTTGCGGAAGCAAGATAGTTTATCTGCAATTGGAGAGGGCTTCTGTCGCCCCTTCTCTGACCCCCTTTGTCACCCTTTTCTTGTCAGGTGCCATGGAATGGCTGCAGTTTCTTTTGGAATGTGACTAAGGGGAAGCTGAGTTGGGATATACTTAGTATGGGTTAATGTGATAGATTTATGTGGTCCCAGTCACCCCTGGGAATAGGTAAATTCTTGTTAGACATTCTGCTAGCAATGACTTCCAGGAGTTTTCCTACCAGTTACAACATCCATTCACCTGTGTCATGGTTTGATATGGGGACAGAAGTGCAGCTATGGTGATGTGGACACTCCCTGCAGTGCCTGGCACCAGAAGTGTAGGTACAGTGGAGGAAAAGCAAGGTTTGAAAAGTTTGAAGACAAAAACTGTGGTCTGTAGAAAATTCTTACTGTTTTTATTTTTTTTTTCATAGCTTTTATTTATTTTTTTAATTTATTTATTTTTTTCATTTATTTTTATTAGTTGGAGGCTAATTACTTTATCTTACTGTTTTTAGACACGTAAAATCCTAAGTAGTAGATTCTGTTTTCATTGATGCCTGATTAAAATCGAAGTTCTGTCTTGTCAGAAATATAATATTTGACAATGCAGTGAGACAGTTATAAATATTACAAGCTTTTTTTTCTGTTTTGGTATAAATTTTGTAAAATAGAGTTAATCAGAATTCCAGAATCGATGCTTTTGAACTGTGGTGTTGGAGACTCTTGAGGGTCCCTTGGACAGCACAGAGATTCAACCAGTCCATTCTGAAGGAAATCAGTCCTGAATATTCATTGGAAGGACTGATGCTGAAGCTGAAACTCCAATACTTTGGCCACCTGATGCGAAGAGCTGACTCATTTGAAAAGACCCTGATGCTGGGAAAGATTCAAGGCAGGAGGAGAAGGGGATGACAGAGGATGAGATGGTTGGATGGCATCACTGACTCAATGGACATAAGTTTGAGTAAACTCTGGGAACTGGTGATGGACAGGGAGGCCTGGTGTGCTGCAGTCCATGGGTCTCAAAGAGTCGGACATGACTGAGTGACCTAACTGAACAGTGATTACGGGAACCAACCAGAACTTCTGGGAATGGTGTACATGCTGGCATGAGAAATACTGTTTTACGTATCTTGAAAGGCGATATTGTTTCTATAGAAAATCATATGAAGAAGTAATAAAAGATTACACAGCAAAAAATGTAGGAAAAATACCACAGAGGTAGGACACTTAACTAATCTATATGTTGTTACATCTGTGATCTCTGCCACCTCTTTTATATGTGTCATTTGTTGTCCTGACTTGTCCTAAATATCCACTGGCCTGATTTTAAGTCTATAATTTTGTATTCTTTTTCTTAAAGTAGGCCTTCCAATTTATATAAACTTTAGTTCCCACAAAACCTGGGTCTGCCCTGCTGTGCTGTAAGAATGCAACTCTGTGGCCGGGGCTCATGGGAGCTCACATGAGTTTCTAGAATTCAGAGCTAGGACTGAAACTGCAGAAACAGATGATGCAGAGCTGCTGTGCGTCCTTTGAGATTTGAAAGGCCATTCTGGCTCTAGTTTTAACAGGCATGATATTCCTCATTTTTCTACATAAGCCACATACTGTGGCTTCTGTTTATGTGTATTTGAGGCCTCGTACCATCACTTCTACTAGTTGCCATGGCACTGTCCATCAGCGTGTCTTACAGATTCTGGCCCTATTTTCAAGCAAGCAACTTCTTCAGGTCACATTAAAAGTCCTCGAGAGCGGACCCTGTTGCCTCCATTAATGTCTGTCAATCTGAGTGAGTGGTATCGGCCATCTCAAAGGCCTGCATCACTGCACTGAACCATCAGTCCTGGTGTCAGGCATCTAGTTCCAGTCCAATATGCTGGGTTCTGAAGGGATCACTTATAAAGGGGCTGTGGTTGTGGCCAACACTCAGGCTCAGTCTATGCAGATCAGACTCATGGTCAGAACACTAGACCTCACTGTTCCTTGGGGATCTCTCCCCTACCCAACTCTGTCCTGGCTGTTTATTGCCAGAATGTCTTGGCTTTGTCTCCTTAGAAGTCTCTGGAAAAACCTGTCAGCCTCTTTTACGTTCACGCTTTTGTAGTTATTCACAAAGTGGCAGCGTATGAGGCCGAAGCCAGGAAGATGCACTCCCTGAGTCCTATCCTACTAAGTGTTCACAGACCACATTCCTTGGTCTCTATTTCCTCACTGCTCCCTTCTCCAGATTCTGCCTTCTTTTCTCCCCTGGATTATAAATACAGTATGTCTGTTTCTAAAATACAGAAAAATGCAGACATATAAGGCGGAAAGTGAATTTCCTTTAAATTTACTCCCAGAGATAGTCTTTCAGACGTTATGCCATGCACAGACTTAAATTTGATATTAAGAATAATTAATTTTTATTGAAGTATAGTTGATTTACAATGCTCTATTAGTTTTTGGTATATAGCAAATTGATTGAGTTTTATCCATACATATATATGGACTCTCAGATTCTTTTCCATTAGAGTTTAAATAATTTTTTTAATCCATACGTTTAAGAACAAATTTCTGCCTTATATTATTACTGCTGCTAGTTTGGAGAGTATCCTGGACAATTAGCTATGCATTTATGGACACAGAACATCCATGTACCTTAAGAAATAGAAAACTGTTTTATGTGTTTCTGTGTATCTTTTTAAAGTAATTGAGGTAAAACCCATATAACATAAATTGACCATTTTAACCATTTTAAAGTTTATGATTCAGTTGCTTTTAGTGCATTCGCAGTGTTTTACAACCCAAGAATACTGGATTGGGTAGCCTATCCTTTCTCCAGTGGATCTTCCCAACCCAGGAATTGAACTGGGGTCTCCTACCTTGCAGGCGGATTCTTCACCAACTGAGCTACCAGGGAAGCCTCTATGCAACCATCACTACTATCCAAGTCCAGTCTCTAATTTCATCTAATTTTAATTCTAATTTCATCATCCCCAAAAGAAACCCTGTACCCATAAACTACTGTAACCCAGTAGTTACTTCCCTTTATCTTTCCCTCACCCCACACTCTGGCAACCAGTAATCTGCTTATAGTCTCTATGGATTTGCCTACCGTGGACATTTCATATAAATATAATCATATACTATATGGCCTTTTGTGTCTGGGGTTCTTTCACTTAGCATGTTTTCAGGGTTCCATGTAGAATGTATCAGTACTTCATTCTTTTTTATGGCTAAATAATATCCCATTGTATAGATACATTTTGTCTATATACTCATAAGTTAACAGGGATTTGAATTGTTTTCACTCTTTGGTGATTGTGAACAATACTATTATGAGCATTTGGTGGATTTTGTAGGATTTTCTCTATGTAAGATCATGTAATCTGCAAATAGAGATAGTTTTACTTGTTCCTTTCCACTTTGGATGAATTTTAGTTCTCTTTCTTGCTTAATTGCTGTGACTAAAACTTTAAAGGTCAACATTCAGAAAACTAAGATCATGGCATCTGGTCCCATCACTTCATGGCAAATAGATGGGGAAACAGGGGAAACAGTGGCTGACTTTATTTTGGGGGGCTCCAAAATCCCTGCAGATGGTGATTGCAGCCATGAAATTAAAAGACGCTTACTCCTTGGAAGGAAAGTAATGACCACCCTAGACAGCATATTAAAAAGCAAAGACATTACTTTGTCAACAAAGGTCTGTCTGGTCAAGGCTATGGTTTTTCCAGTGGTCATGTACGGATGTGAGAGTTGGATTATAAAGAAAGCTGAGCACCGAAGAATTGATGCTTCTGAACTGTGGTGTTGTAGAAGACTCTTGAGAGTCCCTTGGACTGCAAGGAGATCCAACCAGTCCATCCTAAAGGAGATCAGTCCTGAGTGTTCATTGGAAGGACTTATGTTGAAGCTGAAACTTCAATACTTTGGCCACCTGAAGCGAAGAGCTGACTCATTGGAAAAGACGCTGATGCTGGGAAAGATTGAGGGCAGGAGGAGAAGGAGATGACAGAGGATGAGATGGTTGGATGGCATCACCGACTCAGTTGACATGGGTTTGGGTAGACTCCAGGATTTGGTGATGGTCAGGGAGGCCTGGCGTGCTGTGGTTCATGGGGTCGCAAAGAGTTGGACACAACTGAGCGACTGAACTGAGCTGAATACTTTTCAGTACAGTGTTGAGTAGCAGTGGTGAGAGAAGGTATCTTTTTTTATTCCTTATCTTAGAGGAAAAAACTTTCAGTCTTTCACCATTAAGTATGATAATATTAACTGTAGTTTTTTCATAGCTGCCCTTGATTAGTTTGAGAAGTTCCCTTCTATTCCTAGTTTATTGAATGGTTTTCTTTTTAATCACAAAAAGATGTTAGATTTGTAAAATTCTTTTTCTCTATCAGTTGAGATAATCCTATGACTTTTCCCCCTTTATTCTATTAATATGGTATATTGCTACATTGGTCTTGGTATATTGAACCTGCCTTGAATCCTTGGGGTTAATCCTA